CTCCCGAATCAATATAATGATATCTAAATTAAGAAGAAATGTATACCGCTAGCTGACTTAGGATTCAGATGCATGAAAGCAAAGGAAACGTGGTTATTCTTAACATCAATGTAAACTAGAATTAGGAGACAACATGCAGGACTCGATCAAACAGTATATTACAATAAAATCATGACACATAAACCGCGCTCTTATTCTGAAGCAGCTTAAATAAACTGCATATTTTAATCCCCATGAATTAACTTAGCTTTGTCCTCGTGCTTGTTCACAGCATCAACAGCAGTCTTTCTTTTATCCTTGTGCTTCTTGACAGCATCAAAAACAGACTTGACCGCTTTCTTTCCGGCCTTAACAATTTTCCTTCCCACCAAAGACAAAACGCGTTCCCTTTTTGTAGGAAAAACACTTCCGATCTTGACGAATTTTGTTGCACTGATACTGCTCTTTTCTTCGTTAGGATTCATCTCTTCTTATTTTAATTTTTTTTTATGAATATCTCTCTCTCTCTCTCTCTCTCTCTCTCAATATTCTTATGCTCACCGTCTCTGAAGGAAGATGTGTGAGGGTATTTATGAACGACCATTGCTTCTGCACTCTTCTTACCACACACCCCAAGCCCACCCTCGCCATGTTTTCATAGTTTAGCTACAGTTTCTATATTTGGGTGTCAAATATCTGCAACCGAGTTGATGTAGATATGAGTATGCTTACGGTCCCCGGCATATGTGCCTTTTGAAGATTCCATGCATGAAAAGATGTTTAATAATATTATTCATCTCCACTGAATTATCACTTATTTAAAAAAAAAAAAAGGTTAAACCCAAACCTTAAGGGTCCCCCACCGCCCCTGCCCTGGAGCATCGTGAGGGAGGTAAATCACAGGTTATGCCTCCAAGGATATAGGGTGGAAGGCTGCTTGTACACTTGCACTTACCCAAAACCCAAACCCATATTTTAGGATTCGAACCCTTAACGTGACAGCCTCAAGCAAAGTTGGATTTCTCCACCCTCCCCTTTTACCACTTGGAGATGTGCCCTGGGGGCAATTATCACTTATTTATGTTATATGAAAGGGCTTTAAAATGAATAAAAAGTGTACATCTTTGTTGACCAATGTAGCGTAATGTTAAAACTGAAGTCTTTTAGTTAGAATTATTTATTTTGGTGTGCAGTTTAGAGAGTAAGCGAACAAAATAAATTATAGATACATTAATTTTTAGGTATAAACTATAAAACAATAAGTTAATAAATACATAAAAATTCATAATAAACCACATGCTATACAGTTTTTTGCAATGCATATATATATATATAGTTAGTAAGATAATCTCTACAGGCGATTCCATTCCCATATATGCACATATATAAATGATGACAACATTCTTTATTTCTTGATTTAGTAAGAGTTTTTCAATAATAAATATAAATCAATAATTTTTCAAAATAATAAATTTTATTAATTTTATAAAATTTATTATCTTGTAATGAGGAAGAGATAATAAATTAACTGTGCTCTGTTTACATATATAAAAGGCACGCCTAAAAACTTATTGGTTATTTATTTATTCTTAAGTAATTTCTAAAAACTTACTGGTTATTTATTTATTTTCAAGAAAAAAAAAGTAATTTTCTCGAGATTTTCTCCAAATCTTTATGTGAATTAAGGACTTTGACTAGTATAATGTTTGTAACTATTATGATTTAATAGAGTTTTTGTTTTCCAATATAAGTATGCTTTAATAGATGGATTTAGGTAAAGAATAGACGAATATAGCTAGTAAAATCACTGAATGAAAAATATATAGCTTTATCACTGATGTTGAAACTTGTATCCAGTATTTTCTTTCTTTCAAAAATTATCATGATGAATGAATTATTTATGAATTTTTAATGATAAAATAAAAACAAAAGTGAGAGATTCCAATTATGAATAAACTGCTTACTTAAGTTACTTTAGTGTGTTCCTAATCAAGGTTTGAAATAAATAATTTATTTCCAATTGATTGCTGATTATGCGGTTCGAATTCTTGTTGCTTCTTTTAGCGGGACAGCGAATTGGAACGGTGAACGATGATGGAAAATGTGAATACTGCTATTATAAACATCATATTATTTACGGTCTAACCTACGTAAAGGAAATAGGTGATTGCACGCTTAAAATTCGAATCCTCCAAGCTCCAAATCAAGCAAAATCGAAATCATAAAATGAAATCTTGTCAGATCAAGTCCGAACAAGATCAATGGTTGCTTTAACTACATTTTCCCCTAAATCTGCAAATAATCAATTCAAATCTACTTGTTTATATTCTTTCTGACTTTTGATTCATTTAGTTCATATTTTGTTTGATTTTGATGTTCAAATTTTTTTGCTCTAGTACATATGAATTTACTCTCTAGATTAATAATTTTGAGTTTGTATATATCGAGAATTAGATTTGTATGAATTTAAATGAGTTAGTATATATGAAAAAATAACTTTAGATTAATTCAAGTGACGCATGTAATGTGGTTGTGAAAATAAGAATGAGAAAAATGACATTCTGTATTACTTTTTTTGTGAAGGTCTCAGTTTGTCTAATTTGAAATTTTTTGGACCAATTAAATTGAAGCATACATGTGTGTTTGTGAAAATTTAAATTCGTGAATATGAACTTTTTTTAGGTGGGGTGGGGGTGATTAGGCATAACTAAAACGGTAATTTTAGTTCTAATTAGTTTTACAGATATTAATCTAATATGTTATTTTTTTGGGATAGTAGACCTAATTTTCCCTTAAAAATGTTGGGTATTGTTATTTACATTCACAATTTTTTATATATGCATTTACTTTTAAAAATATAATTATAATCTTATGTAAATTTGTGATTAGGCATAACTAAAACGGGAATTTTACCCACGTTCAACTAAATGGTTCTCATTTTCGTGATGTTTCCATCTTATGTTGTTCTGTTAATTCGATGAATTAAGCCCTCAGGACACATCTCCAAATGGTAAAAGGGGAGGGTGGAGAAATACAGCTTTACTTGAAGCTGCCGCGTCAAGGGTTCGAATTCTGAAATATGGATTTGACTCTTGGGTAAGAGTAAGTGTACAAGCAGCCTTCCACCCTATAACTTTGGAGGCATAACCTGCGATTTACCTCACTCACGATACTTCAGGGCAGGGGCGGTGGAGGATCCTCAAGGTTGGGGTTCAACCTTTAATTCGATGAGTTAAGAGGGACCCACGTTCAACTAAATGGCTTTCATTTTCGTGATTGAAAAGACTTCAATGCTTGACAAATCTTTACTTCCATAGAAAT